GATTTCACTTAGACCCTGTGCACAGGTTGATCCTCCACAAAACAGTTTTAGTCCTGCAGTAAAATGAGGGCTGATAGCATCTGAGCTTGACAATTACCCAATCTCTGGTTCAGCTCTTGTTTATTTCCATGTTGCCAACTCCTGTCCCAATGGCTGTGTGTATCTATGCACATGCACATGTACACTGAGCTCCCTTACTGGAATCTGATGTTCCTCAACCAAATGTGGGCAGAATTTAAACCAGGAACATGACTCAGGACCATGATTGCAGACTGAGCCCAGAGCAGGTCCTCAGAAACCCTGGGAATGAGGCTGTTTGTCTTGGACCATCTCCTAATTCCTAACTAGCTTCTCTGGGCCTCAGTTATAAAAATGAGGATAATCATTCCTATTCTGGCCTATTTCATAACATCACATTGGGATCAAATAAGCTAACGTCTATGAAACTTCTTTTCCTTCAGACAGAACTCCTCTCAGAAGGATGGACGTCAGTGATGGGGCAGGCTAGACAGGCAGCTGGATTGCAAAACTAAACTTTACCACTGGAATTGGTAGGCATCCTGGTTGCATCAGGAAATAAAAGCAGATCTAGGCTTACCATGTTGTTCCTGTGGCCTGGAATGTCCTTCCACCTTTGCTAAACTCCTACTCATTTTTCAGAACCCAGTTCAAACAACATTTCTTTTTTGTTAGTGTCTTCAGATTTAATTGTTTCATCTTTACTGCTCCCTTAGCCTTTTGTACATACCTCTAACAGCACTTTCACTCTGTACAGTAAGGATTTATTTACATACTTGGAAGTTCTTTGAGGGCAAAGATCATGTATGCTTTATCCTTGCATCTACCTCCCACTCAACACCAATGGTTGACCCACACTGGCACAAGGCAGTTGTCAACCAGTGTTTACTGAGTTGAACATGGGATGGGCAAGAGCCCAAAGTCAAGAAGGAGGTAAACGTCAGAAAGATTCAAGAGAGCAGAAAAGCTGGGACACTGCACATACAGAGCCAGCGGAGAGGGTGGCAGGCATGGAACCAGGAAGGCAGTGTCACCAAGGTCTGCCTCAGGCAATAAAGGCCCAGCCTCAGAGATGGGAGTCAAAGTCAAACTGCAAGTCCTAGGAGGAACAGGTAGGGCCCTGGTCCTGGAAAAATGAGGAGATGAACAGGGAGCAGGGGCACCACACTGAGTTCCAGTGACCTAAACTAGAACAGGAGGGCTTGGGAAAAAGGAACAAGGCCAATGCCTAGAACCCAAAGAACAGAGGCAGGGCAAGGCATCAACCCTGGAGCTTCTGGATTAGTTAACATTTCCAGGTCTGCCAAAGTTGAGCTAGCAGCTAGGAGTTAAGTGACCCCTGCACAGAGACCACATAGACCCCAGCTATGAAAATGAGGAGGGACTCAAGAGGCAGGAATCAGGCTATTCATTACAAATTCAAGTAGTGATCATTTCCACGAAATAAGAACCCGAGATGGAAGGGACTCTTAGATCTATCAAAAAAAAAAACATTAGGAATCATCTGGTCTAACATCCCTAACCTACATATAGAGAAACCAAGGGCCTGGGAGGGAAAGGGTCAAATTCACTTAGGGCAGAACCAAAGCTAGAACCCAGGTCTTCTAACTGTCAATGTAGTTCTCATCCCCTCTAAAGCTGTTTACCTTCAGTCAAGGTCTCTGAATTGTTCCAGTAACACACCAGGTGCCCAACTCCAGCTGCTTCAGAATCTTGGGGAGCTCCAAATGTCCCCACTATGTGAGCACAAGCACTTCTGCCCAACCATGGTATGCAGGTTTCCACCTTTGGGCAGAGTTTAAAGTCAATGTCCCACAGGAAATGTGCAGGTACCAGTCCCACTTGAGGCTTAAAAAGCAAAAAACTGCTGTGGTCTATGTTGCTGTCAAGCAGCAAATAAACCAGACTGTTCACACATGAAATGATTAACCCCAATCACTGTGCTATCCCTGGAATTTTCCAGCAGTGGCTGCAGGCCCAGTATCTAAGGCAAAGTTGATAGTACACGAAACACACAGTTTTTACCACTGTAGAAACATTAAAGGAAGGCCTCTCAGGTCTAAAATCTCAAATAACAAACTAGAGATGAGACATGGCTCAGAAGGAAAGAATTGAGACCCTGATCCCAGACTTCCAGAAGACTTACATCCAGGGAAGGGGACACATGCAAAACGATAACCCTTACTTTTACTCCATGTATACAGAGAGATGTGAGCTTCTTCAAGTACTTCAAGTCCCAGTCCCACTGTTTATCTACTATGTGATTTGGGGCCAGTGAGTTAACCATCCTGAGCCTTGGTCTCCTTATTTGTAAAGCAGTGATTACAACACCTGTGAACAGGTTTCTTGTTAAGATGAAATAGTAAGTGTAAAGCATTTAGCACACCGCCTGGCCCATAGTAAGCATTAAGTAACTTTGTGTTTATTTTTTGTTCACAGGAAGAAATGGTTATACCACAGTATAGCTGTCTACCTGTGCTTCTCCTTCCCAGGTGGCTGTCCCTCTGGACCCTTCTGTCCAGACACCCTATGTGAGGTCTCAGCCCAGAGAGCTCACTCCTCCAAACCTGCTTATTCCTTGGACATGGAAAACTTAATCAACTTATGGGCCACACTCAGTTCCTTGAAGATCAAGAATCACCACGTTAGACCAAGGCTGTTCCTGCCTCCCCAGGTGACCCTGCAACTCCCCTGGCCAAGCCCCTGACTTGGGCAGCACCTAGTTTGGTACGGCTCTTGTCTTTTTCAAGGTAAATTCACTGCTAGCAGCTTACAGCTACCCACTGGCCTGGCTCTATCTTAGCCTCAAGCATATAGATGCCTGACAGATAGGCCAGACCTGGGCAACAACAGCTGAGATAATTCCCCAACCCAATTTACCAAAAGGAAACAGCCTGGAGTCTGAACCTGCAGTGAAACCAGAGAGTATACACTCCCCCAGTGACTGGAGCAGAGAGGGAGGGGAGCACTGAAATGAAGCTACCAAGGGACTCAGGGCTCATGCCAACTCCTCCTCACATCGCCCTGCTAAGAAGCTAAATAACCATCACCTCATTGTCAGGCTCTTGGGCTATATGTGTGTACTGGTCATGTCTGTCACAGTGCTACACACTGTAGCCACAATGGGACATTAGAAGGCTTCAAAGAGGAAGAAGAGAAAAGAACCAATAGTTACCAAGTGCCTACTGCATGCCAAGAACTTTGCATGTAGTCCTCACAAATGACCATATGTGGTAGCATAGTAATACCTACTATCTTGCCAATAAAACCAGAGACTAGGAAATATCTATGAAGACTCCATGTCTCCTCCACTATGCTATCCAACCACAAAGTCTTAAACGTCCTGGGAAAGACGAGTCTAAAGTACTTTGTACCAGGCTCCCAGCACCTTAATTCACTAAGCAGACAATACTAGTTTAAATACTACAATCCCTCATTCACTGTTGGTGGTAGTCAACTTCTTTCAAAGAGAATCTATAGATGTATAACAAGATATATATATATATATAGAAATAGCATAAAGATGTTCATTGCCTTTGCCCCTGTAATTTTATCCCCAAGACTGTATCTTAAGGAAATAGTTCAACAAAGTGTTCACTGCTGGGTTCACCATGATAAAAAAAAAAAAAAAGAAATATTCTAAATGTCCCACATTCAAAGACTGGTTTAGAAAATTCCAGAATCTTCGAATCATGTAATGTTATACAGCCATTTAAAATGATCATTTTAAATACCAAGAGGATACAAGGCAAAGCATTTATGACAAAATAAATGGGAGTGAATACAAAACATCATAAATGCTATCACTACAACTTTGTAGAAGTATGTATGTGTGTATATGCAAAAAAGAATGTAGCTGTGTTAGGGCGGTAAAATTATGGATGGTTTCATTATTATCATCATGGTAAACTGTCTTTGTGGTACTGTTTAGTACATTTTCAATTAAAGAAAAAGAGAGAGAGACAGACAGACAGACTCAACCCAGCACTAAGGAAGGGCCCAGGAGGACCAGGACTAGAATGTGAAACAAAAATTGAGAACCGTCCTACATATCCAGGAGGAGGAGGCCAGGCAGGCTCCTGGGGAAGGGAAGCCCTCTAGGTCTGGAGAGGGTTGTAATTAGTCTGATGCTAATTACAGAAGTCTCTCTAGCTTATTAATTTTTGTGACAGACTCTGAATAAAGACTGAATTCCTTCATTAAGCCAACTTAAGTTCAGAGGCACATTTCCTGCGTGGCCATCCTTGTTCTTCTCAAAAACCTTGTCTTTTGTTTTTTTTTTTTAAGGACAGCAGTAAAGCAAAATTCAGTAACAAAAACACATACCCTGCATAAATTAAGACTCCTGCCTTAAATGTAGAAATTCAAGACATTTCAGGGAACCAAATGGCTTGAATAAGCAACTGAACTATAAAGTTTTCCACACTGGGAAATATAAACAGAAGTACAAAATATTTAGCTCAGTATTAAAGGCCTCCTTGATCATGTTCCAACACATCTTTCTGATATTATCTTATATTCTCCCCCAAAGACAAACCATGCTCCAGCCAAAGTGAACCACCAGTGGACCCCCAAACACTTTCTTACCCCCACAACTGTTCCAGCGCTGCATCCACCTAAAGTCCTCTTCTCTCTCACAATTGCTTACTCAAGTCTGGCCCATCCTCCAACGCACAGCTCAAAGCCATGTTCTCCCTGAAGCCTAACCCAATCCCTATACCCTGAATTCATTTCTTTCTTCAAAGTGAACCCAGAGCACTCTGAACCTCTCTAAAGGCATTATCACACAGTCTGCCTTGTAATATACTTATCTGGGTAACTGGCCTTATCTACCATATTCAACCAAGAGCAACTTGAGGGCAAGGACCCCTTCAGATTCCTACATGGAACCTATCATAATGCCTGGTACACAGTAGGTCTACAACAAATGGTTCACTGAAAAACAAAGAAAAGAGATACATCCAAGAGCAGTCACTTCCTACCTCAGTTGCTCCTGTTAAGCAAAGCAGAGACGAAGGCACGCTGTTCTGTGGTGTCAAGCAGGGGAGGGATGAATCCTGTTCCTCTTGTTTCCAGCCTTCCTGAGCCTCCAGCTTCCTCCCTAGTTGACCGTAGTCTGCTCGGCCCCAGGTAAACACCTTGCCAGTTTCTAAAAACAAACATTACTTGAATTAAGACTACATTCCACAACTGTGCTCTTATGTGTAGGCAATGAATTACAAGAGAAAGTGCGAACATTTATTTTAGCACCAACTACTATCGGGTTGCTATGAGTCAGAATCGACTCAATGGCAACAGGTTTGGTTTTTTTTTCACTACATACCATAAGAAGCCCCGGTGGTGGAGTGGTTAAAGTGCTCAGCTGCTAACCAAAAGGTCGGCAGTTCGAACCCACCAGCTGCTCTGCAGGCGAAAGATGTGGCAGTCTGCTTCTGTAAAGATTTAGTCTTGGAAACCCTATGGAGTCGTTATGAGTCAGAGTCGACTTGATAGAAGTGGGTTTGTTTTTTGTTTTTTTTTTTTAACTATGTACCAGAAGCCTTCCTATCCTTCTCCTATAAAGAAAATACAAGTATTCACATTTTTACAGATGTGGGAACTGAGGTCCAGAGAGGTTAAATTAACTTGACCAAGATCAAACAAGTGGTGAGTACCAGTATCACGGAGCTGTCTGATTCTAAAGCCTGTACTCTTGCATTTTATATAGATATGGCTATGACTGGAGTCCCTAGGTAGTGCAAACAGTTAATGTGCTTGGCTGCTAATCGAAAGGCTGGAGGTTCAAGTCCACACTGAGACACCTCAGAAGAAAGGCCTGGCAGTCTACTTCTGAAAAACCAGCCACTGGAAACTCTATGTAAGGGAGCACACCCAACAGCAGATGCAGGTTTGGTGGTGGATATGTCTAAGTACATGACTGCAGGTACTCCTCTTATGTTGATGTAGACAACAGAGCACACAAGTGGCAGAGTCAGGGAAACTCTTAGACATAACAAAACACCTGCGGGATGAAGTTCCTCAGCTTGAAGACAAGGGACCATAGGCTCGGGACTTCTACGTCAACTGGCACAACATAGTTCACACAGACAATGTTCGACATCCTACTTTGGTGAGTAGCATCCAGGGTCTTGAAACCTTGGGAGTGGCCATCTAAGATACAACTATTGGTCTCTTCCTGTCCAGAGCAAAGGAGAGTGAAAAAAAGCAAAGACTCAAGGGAGCAATAAGTCCAAAGGACTAATGGACCACTTGAACCACAGCCTCCACAACCCCGAGACCAGAATAACTAGATGGTGCCCAACCACCACTACCAGCAGCTCTGACTGGGATCACAACAGAGGGTCCCAGACAGAGCTCGAGAAAAATGTAGAACAAAAAATCAAATACACAAAAAAGAACAGCTTAATGGTCTGACAGAGACTGGAGGAACCCTGGGACTACAGCCTTAAGACACCCTTCTGACCTGGAACTGAAGCCATTCCCAGAGACCACCTTCCAGCCAAACAACAAACAAGCCCATAAGGTAAACAATAACACCCAAGAGGAAGTGCTCCTTACAACAATCAATTATACGAGATCAAAAGGGCAATGTCTGCCCAAAAGCAAAGACAAGAAGATGAAAGGAAACAAGAAGCCCAGGGTGGAAATGAGAAGAGTGCTGACACATTTGAGGAATAAAGCCAAGGCCATGAAACACTTTATGTACAAACTATGGAATGGGAATCTAATTTGCTCTGTAAACTTTCGCCTAATGCACAAACAAGAAAGGAGCAAAATCCTATGGAGCACAGTTCTACTCTCACACATGGGGACGCCATGAGTCAGAATTAATTCAGTGGCACTCGTTACGGATATGACTAAATAAAACTTCAACTATGTTTTATGGCCTTCCTCTCGTTTCCCTCCATCCTTGTGCTCTGCCTCAATGCTTCTTCTCAGGCTCTCCTCTCTCCCACCTAATCCAGGGACGTCTTTAGCCACTCTGAAGTTCCTCAGACTCTTGACTTGCCCCATGCCACAATCTTTTAGGGCCTTGCTCTTAGCACAATTAAATGCCGGTTTCATGTGTTTTCCCCTCCATGTAACATAAGCGGACCTTCCAGAGTCTACCCAAAGGAGCAATTCTAACAGTCCCAAGGCAAGTGTCTATGTGTGCTAGAGGAAAGGGAGTGAAAGAGGAAGAAAAAAAGACAAAATATTTGGAGCCAGAAAAGCATTCAGTCACCCAGATGCAACACATGGGAGCTCGCCAATGATAAAGATGATGGAAGAAAATGAAGTCTGGAAAAAGAGAAATGGCCTCTCTTCTCCCAGATAAGAGAAAATTTCACCACACTCATTCAGTTGTACCAAGTGTCACATTTGTTATTTCAACAGAAATGCAAAATCCAATGAGGCATAGATTATTAACAGATTCTCTGCAATAAATATGCATAACCATGTGCGCTGCATAAATTCTTTATACATGTTTATTTTAACAAAGAAAAACTTTGCTTAAGAGACAAAACACCAAGTGATGCATATTAAATTCTAGACAAATCTACTACACACTGTGTTTAGCATCAAAGCTTCATCTGGCCTCATGTTCAACATATGGTTTACAGTGCAAGCTAATAAACAACCACAGACTCACGGGAGAAATATCAGAATATTGCAGTTTTGGGGATCGACCTGCTTGTGGACACCAACGCAGATACCAAACAATTCACAGGATTCTGACTCCTGGGCTTCCTCAAAGAGGAAACAAGGTGCAGTCCAGGAGGTGCCTGGTATATTTTGATAACTCGGAGTGGGTCCATTCAGATGTACTACTTCATGCCTTTCCATATGCTGTTCCTTTTGGCCATGGATGCTCTTTCCTTACCTTATTTACCTGGTAAACTATGGCTTAAAGGTTCAGCTCAAGTACCACCAGTTCTGTGAAATCTTTCTTGACTCCCCAGCTCTTCTCAGAAAGGGAAACCCACCCTCCTGTGAGTCACCTCTATCACTGTACTCATCAACTAGTATGCCAAATATTGTGATCTGAGCTTCTGGAAGGCAGAGTCCACATCTCACTCATCTTTATGTCCCTAGAAATAGCATAGTATTTATCTGGCACACTGGGAGTGCCCAATAAATGGAAAACTGTATCTGCAAGATAAAATCAAATCAGCAGAAATCTATCAAGTATCTTCTAAAGGTACTTTTGCTAAACCACTGTTAATATAAATTACTGAGCTGCTAGAGGTAGAGCGAAGACTTCTGGTATCACCTAGTCCACATTTCAAATACTGAGGGCCAGAAGGAGGCTGGGAATTTCCCACAATTACATGCTGGTTGGTGGCATCAGTGGGACCAACACTGTGGGCCCCTGACGCCTATGCCCACGCTACCAAGCTGCCTATGATAAAGTACAATTCCTGTTGCCGAGGATTCCCCTATTGTGTTGCGGATATGAGGTGTAGGTACATGTCAAATTATACACAATGAGAATGGCAGAGGCAGGAGAGACTGAGGCCCTCATCCCTAACATTGAGTAGTGTATAGTTTAGAGGTACTGTCCCATGCATTATTTCATTTGAATATCAACATGTGCAGTGAATAGTGCAGAGACTACTGTTCCCATTTAACAGGTGAGAAAATGAAGGCTTAGAAGAGTGACCTGACCAGGGTCACACGGCTAAGCCACATCTCTTTCTACTAGCCCATGGTACCACTCTGCATTGGTTAGTGACACTGGTCCATGTCATGGATAACCATGGTTCACTTATGCAGCATTAGACCAAGAAAAGCGTATGTGTCCAGGACCCACAAAGTATCCAAAACTGGCAAACTGTCCCTCTACCTGGGCTTGTTAGGATGTACAACCAGACTGCCTTAGCGGGAGATTCCCAAGAAGCCAGAAAACTGTTACTTCTTAAACGACCCTAGCATTCCTCTGCTGGGAAGAACCGGCAAGCTGCTATTGTAAGACTACACAAAGAATTATGCTATCACAAATTCCACAATAAATCTTTCTTTCACATCAAATAAAGCATCTTAGAACTTTCTCTGCTATTGACTATTGATGTCCAGGACAGGCAAGACTGCCAGAATATGGTGCCACCATTATTACATCTCCAATAACAATTCAATCATTCCACTTACACAGCACTTTTCACCTTCAAAGCACTTTACAAAGATTAACTAATTAATCCTCATACTCCCTGCGGAGTCCATAGACGTTCTATTATAGACAAGACCAGAAACCAGGCCAACTCAATGTCCGGCTTTCTCTCCAGCCTAAGTTTGGTCGGTCAGGTAGGTGCACTCTCTGAATCTGCCTGTCTCTCCCCAAGTATACTCTACATCATAAGGCTCACAAAGGACAGAGGAGATCTTTGTTTTTAACTTTTCTTTTAAACAGACATTTATTGACTATCTCTTATGTGCCAGGCACTTTCATAGGCACTATCTCAGTCCTCATAATAAGTCAGTGAAGTCTAGATTATTAAACTTATTTTACAGATGAGGTCACATGACTTTAGAGATCAATGACTTAGTCAAGTTCAAACAACCAGCAAGTGGTGGAATCAAGAGTTAAACCTGCATCTTCTGACTCGAGTCCAATGCTATCTCCAATGACTGCTGCTGTCACAAACTGAAGAAACCTGGCTGATGAAACAGCCATTCTTACAATGTTTGAGGAGGGGAAAAATCAGATTAAATGGATATGCTCTGTGTACCAATCCAGTTTTCTGCACTGGAATCCTCTCCAGGAGGCCGTGCAGAACTGAGGACTATAAGTACTGAAATAAAGGCAATAACCACATGGGTCATAATTTTAGGTCACCTGGAATAAAAGAAAATAATGAATCCATATACCAAAACAATGTTCGTTAACGCACCATAGATAAAAGTCTGCCACAAGCTGAAGAATGCTGTCAAATCCAAGCAGCTTCAGACCACAAATTTAACAAATGAATCTTTTCTTTAAAGAATTATATATTATTGTGTAAAAAAAATAGATATATTAATGTCATCCAAAAAGTATAGGTAAGCGTCTCCAGATGAATGATAAATGGGAGAAATGACAAAACAGCTCAAAATAAACTCAGCAAGTAAAATATAATTTAAAGGCACGTCCATGTGAGAATTACCATAGAATATCTAGGGAGTCAAGAATTA